GTGAGTGTGCCCCCCTAAAAGTGTTGCCCCTGGTGTAAGAGTAACGATGGTCCTTCTGCGCCAAACAGACAGGCACCTTTAAAAACTTAAATTACTCAAAAAAAAATAAAAGAGTGAAAACAGTGAAAAAAAAGAACACTAAAGCAAATAATAAATATATAAGCAAATAAGCGCACAAGTGAACAAATAGGAACCTTTTAAAAAATTATATAAAATTTAATTGCACGGGCGCGCCGCGTAAACAAAATTTACACAAAACAAAATTTCGGGCGCGAAAACAAAAAAAAAAAATAACAATCTTCAATAATAAAAATAGAGGACAACCAACAGCCAAGCAGCAATATTAAGCGAGGACGCAAAGACAACGAGGGAGGAGGATATTAGTCCAAGCGCAGGCCCACCAAAGAACAATACAGTTCACCAGCAAGAGCAGCCCATAATACCCCAAAGCCCTTAATATATCAAAGTGAGTTGTATCGTTCCACTTATTTTTTAACTAACCTAAAAATCTGGTGAAAAAGCGAACTGGGGTTAAATTAACTCGAATTTAATTCCCATAACCTCATTTTCAGCTGGCGGTGAAAATTCAAATCACGTTCATATACGTAGATACCCAAATACATATGTACACACATATGATATTGCCCTATAAACATATATATACAGTCCACTTAATAAACTTACACCCCAGCTTAGCTTAACATAAAAGGCGCATAAATAATTATACATATATAAATAAATACTGTATGTAAGTACATACAGAAATCACCCAAAATAAATACAGTTCGCTTTAGAAACTATATATCAATAACAAGAATTCCTCCGCTTATGTGCTTAAATTTCGTGTAATAAAACACAAACAATTATACCGCAAAACATATTCAAGTGGAAACTTGCAAATATTTCCAGCAATACCCCTTCTGTTTGTATAACAAACAGCAAGCAGGATTGCATAAACAAGTAAGCTACAAAGCAAAATAATAACTAATAAGAATTGGCGGCAAAATAACGAATAGCGTATGTGCACATAAGCACAACAATACATACGACATAACATTATTCCCCAATTGCCATTTCTTCACCTAATATAATACAGGCTTAATATTGGTGGTCAATATACATATGTACATACTCCCGTTCTTTGAACCCAAAATAATTTTGAAAACACAAACGGGCATACATCATATACAAAGCAACGAAAACGAAATTATAAATTATCTCTTTCTCCCGTCCTTCGCTAGTAAACATAGTTACACACACACTAACTATTGTTAACCACCCGCGCTTAACCTATGTTAATATATGGTAGCATTGCGTGCAAACATTAATATACTGACATACATACCTACTAACCCAGTAGTGCATATACCTTATACGGCGCACGTAAAGGAAAAATATTAAGAAGCGCGGAAAAATAAAATCCCTCAAGTTAAAGATTTAATTTGCGATAATTTAATGAGCAATTTTTAATTGAAAGAAAAAAAAAATACCAACCCATCGAAATTATTAAAATTTATATTACGAAAAAAAATAGTCATACATACGCACGTAAATAATAAAACTCGAAAGAGAGTATTGCGGATACATTGTGTCACTATAAAGAAAAGTAAGTCAAAATCCGATCGACTATACGGGCACTCACATTATTCCATCATTCGTGGGTATTAAGATACATAGAAAAAAAAAACAATTTTATAAATTCTCGAGTTCACATTTAAATGCAAACGAACAAGTCTCCCATCAAAGAACCGAAAACACCTCAATTGCTAGATATACCGAAAATGGTTGACGAAGATAAGCATCAAAGCACCCCTGCAGAAGCTACACGCTCAAAACAGGGTGCGAAGCAAAAAAAGACCAAAGATTTTTCGGCCGCAAAATTTATTGCGGAAAGTGACAGTCTAATAAGATACTGCACTAGGTTTTCCGCAGCCCCTATCCAAGACAATTCAGAATCAGTTCTGGAAGTAAAAACCCAAAGTCTTGATAATTTTTGGACACGTCTCCAATCGGCTTACGACGCCATAATTGAAACTGAGGATTCAGATTTACCTGAAAATTTTAAATCCTCGGCTTACGCCAAATATGAAAATTGCTTAGACCAATACGAAGAAACAAAGGCTATGATTTCCGATCAACTAAAATTAATAAAGCCATTAAATGCACCTACTCCACCCCCGAGAGTAGAGCTGCCCCAGATACAAATCCAAGAAGCAAGTTCAGGCATACATCTTAAAGTGCCAGCATGTGATACAGAAGTATTTCATGGAGGTTATGAACAATGGCCGTCCTTCCGGGACATGTTTACAGCCGTATACATAAACCATCCAAAGTTATCTCAAGCGCAAAAAACTGTATCACCTCAGATACAAAACAAAAGGTCAAGCAGGCGCTATAGTTAAACAATTCGCACTTAGTGACGATAATTTTAATCTGGCTTGGGAAGCATTAAAATCACGATATGAGAATGAAAGAGTATTGGTCGACAATCAAATAACGATTTTAATGAACTTGCCAAAAATTCAAAAGGAAACAAGCGAAGAATTCATGAAATTACAGTCCACTGTATCAAACTGTTTGTCGGTTCTCGCGACACAGAAAATTCCCACGGATAGTTGGGACCCTATTCTGGTAAACGTATGCGCTGCAACTTTACCAGAAAAATCGTTACTCTTATGGGAGCAATCGCTCTCATCCCGAAAAAAATGCCCAACGTGGCAACAAATGAAAGACTTCCTCACTACCCAATTCGAAATCGCAGAAAGGGTAGATAAAAAAATATCAAAGCCGAAAAATACACAGCTCGACCTCAATAGAAGCTACAATAGACCCCAAGCCAGTAACAATAATTTACATAATCGAAGCTTCAACAGAACTCAATCGTTCATCTCAGAACAGAACAAACGTATGTCATGCGAATTTTGTAAAGGAGGTCACTCATTAAGATCTTGCGAGAAGTTTAAAAAACTTACAACAACCGAACGATATAATGTCGTTAGAAATAATAGACTTTGCACAAATTGCTTCTCACATTCTCACATCCAAAAAGACTGTGAAAGTAAATTCAATTGTGTATACTGCCAAAAGAGGCATCACTCGATGCTCCACATTAATAATTTTACCCCCCAAAACAGCTCCAACTCACAAAGAGCCACAGGGCTAGTTGCAACAGCTAGACCCGAACACCCCGAAAATCTCGAAAACGAAACCGAGAAACCATGCTGTTCAAAAACAGCAAATATACAAGCGCTTCATTCCGAAAATGAAAGCAAAATTTTACTGCCAACCGCGATTGTCTCGATTGAACATCGAGGAGAATTATTCAAGCTTAGAGCTCTAATCGATCAAGGCTCACAAAGATCGTTTATCTCATCAAAGGTACAAAACCGGCTAAAACTCCCAACCACAAACTCAAACTTTGAAATTTCGGGAATGGGTGGAAGAGTAATACAAAACTCTAATAAAATATGCTCATTAACCCTGATTTCCCCCAATGCGGATGTAAGAATAGAGGCACACGCCATAGTTCTGCCGCAACTTACAAATATGCTTCCAAGCTATAAAGTAAATGGCAAAGATCGCCAAAAATTTGCCCACCTAAAATTAGCGGATCCCAACTGCCACACCCCCGCGCAAGTTGATATCCTATTAGGCAGCGACCTAATCCCCCAAATAATGCTAGAAGGCATTGAGAAAATTTCAAATACCCTGTTAGCCCAAAATACCATCTTTGGATGGATATTGAGCGGCCAAATAAAAGAAAAAATATCGGTATTCACAACACAAGTTGAAGATATTTCAAACGAACACCTCAATTCTCAATTAAGAAGATTTTGGGAGTTAGAAGAACTCCCCCCCC